CAAAATCAGTAAACATCCAACTGCTTAGATCATGACTTCAGCCTCCTTCATATTCACTTTACTCAAACAGGGCGTTATGCTTCCTCTCAGCTTGCTCCCTATAGTCTTCATCCCAGTAGCGTGCATATAGTTACTTCATTTTATCCTCAAATTCATCCATACTGTTCTTTGCTGTAACAAGCCCAGAAAAATTGACAAAAACAGGTAATGCAGACTGTAGTTTTGGCTTGAACTTCAGGCTTTTATACCCCACAGTTCACCACTGTTTCAGCAATTCATGTTTTTAATGTAACTTATTTGCACATGAAATCTCAGGAGGAAGCTAAGTTTATTTTATTTGATAATGAGCTGACTATTAGCAGAGCTTTACCAGCCTGACAGCTATGCACACAATCGGTGTTTGACAGAAACGTTTGTGGATATTGGCTTATGTTCAAAGGTGATTCAAACACTTGAAACTACATCTCCTTTAAAATAGACCTTAGAGCAGATTCAAAGCCTAAAAGTCTGTATGTAAAAGAAATCTCACCTACTGTAATCTAGTAAGTTACTGTAATTAATTGAATCTGTGCTGTGAATCTAGATATTCACTTTTACTAAAATTTGTAAACATTTAATACATTTGAAATAAATTTCAGTCAAACTGGTTTGGAATTAATTCAGAGGGGATTGGGTTTGGTGGTGAAGAGGGACATAACGTAGAAGGATTTTTTTTCTAGTTTGTTTGTTTACAGAAATCATCATTTAAAAACATAAGAATCCAGAAGATAACTCTAAGGGATATGAGATAACTGAAATGAAAGAAAGTTATCCAAATATTATGTTCAATTCAAGAGTCAGAAGTACACCCCATAGATGTCCTTCACATGAAACAATGAGTAAAAAAAATATATATATATATAAAATATATATATATATATGATATATATATATGAACAAAGAAAGTGGAAAATAAGCAGTATGTCCAGATTTTGATGACAATTGAGAGAGGGGAAAAAAAAAAAAAAAGTTTTCCAAATCACAGACACCTAAAGCATGAGATTGGAGACTGGGACATTTTGTTGTTGTTGAGGTTTACTTCAAATGTTGTGACATCCAATATAAATACTTCTCCCATTGAGACTGGACACTTGTCAACAGGTGTAATGCATACAGGTTTTTTTGTTTTTGCTTTGTGTTTGTTGTTTTTTTGTTTGTTTTTTGTTTTTTTGAGGTCTATATGTGAAAACCTCTAGATCCTGAAAACTACAGCTGTCAACATTACTAAAGGGCTGTCCTGTTTCAGTTGTTGCATAGCAATGCTTACACAGAGCCAAATACTTTTCAGCTCCTCGCAGTGCCCCATCACCAAGGAGGCTGGGGGTGCATCAGAAGCTGGGAGGGGACACAGCCAAGACAGCTGGCCCACCTTGGTCAAAGCTCTAAGACCAGGTTAGATGAGGCCCTGAGCAACCTGATCTAGTGGGTGGCATCCCTGCCTGTGGCAGGGGGGTTAGAACTAGTTGATCTTTGAGGTCCCTTCCAAGCCAGGCCATTCTATGAAATAAGATTTGTATTCTGTTGCAGTATCAAACTATATTGAATATATAAATGTGTATGTACATAGAATATATGCATTGTCTATAAATCCTTAAGGTTCCTGGTTTTGGTTTTATCTGCTCTTTCAGAAAGTAAGAACTTTTTATCCCTGCTTGTATTAGCCAGCCATGTAATCTTGTCCTAGAGAAATAAAATGCAAGATGCCATATGAACATCTTTGCACATTTTATACAAATAAATTGATCTTCAAAAGGGATTGTACTGTGCAGAAAACCAAGGCAGAGAAAGGTCAATTCTCTGTTTCCAGAAGACAACCTCCTTTTCTATTGCTTCACACTTACATGCTAGCTGTTTGTTCCACTTTTTAAACCGACCTTTTTGAAGGACTTTAGAATATTTCCTAATGAATAAAGCATTACTAGACTAAGTCCACAGCTTAGGAGCTGGTGCATAATAAAGTTTAAAGAAAAAAGATTCTGAAAGAACACTAGTTATAAATAGCTCAGCATGCCATCAAATGAGATCTTCAAGCCTAGTTTAAAGGCATGGTCATTGCACACAACACTATCATGCTTAACATTCCCCCCAGAATTTCTAAGTTTGCATTTAATAGGCTTAAAAGCTTTCACAAGAACTAAAAAGTAACTCTTATTCATTTTTTAAATTATTTAGTTTCTGTTTTAACTGCTGGGGGGAGGGAGGAGGGGGGCGAGGGAGAGGGGGAAGGGTTAAGGGGAAGTAGTCATTTAAAGCTAAAAACATAACGTGTGGTTGTGGTTGGGCAGCAACAGAGATTCTTAAATAAATTTCCATGGTACAATCTTGTTGAAAGAACCAAATATCAGAAATATCACAGATTTCACAGGTAGGTCCATGATTTTTTATTTATGCATAAAGAGATCACAGCTGCTGAGCATTAATACTGAAGATGGGTATGTCCATGACATTGATATTTTCACAAAGAAGGATCAAGATGCTCACAGTTTTATGTAATTGCACAGAAATAAATAGATTATTGGTTTTGCATGTTGCCAGAGAATTGAAAACATCTACAGTGAATAGTTAGTAATTACATAAATAGCTGTCACATGTATCACTGTCTCAATTCTGCAATGCCATTAAGGACAACAATGATCTGCAACAGCAAGAATCTGATCTTAGAGGCAGAGTCAAACTTTACCACTTCGGGTTTTACCACATGTGAATAACATATATTGAAAACTCCATACAAAAGCTGGGTCTCTTTAGAATCAAAGTGATTACATTTGAAATAGCTGACTTAAGTTCAAGGCAAGCAAGAACACACACAACACAGAAGTAGAGAAGCTAGACTCGGTTTTGTACTTCCCACCAATTGATGCCACTCTCAATTATCTTTGAGAGATGATGGCATCTGGGAGAGATTTCTGAGGACTGGCAGAAAGCAAGCACATTTCTTGTCTTCAAGAAAACCAAGCAGCAGGATGCCAGGAGCTAGAGGCTGGCCAGCATCACCTCAGCACCCAGGAAAGTGATAGAACAAGCAACACCAGAAAAAAATTCAAAATATGCTAAGGAAAAGAAGGCAATTGAAACTAGTCAGCATTGATTTATGAACAGTAAATTGTACTTGAGTCACCTGATAGTTTTCTACAAGGTGATGAGTAGTCTGGTGGATGAGGGGAGAGCAGCCAACTTTTTGTACCTTGACTTGAGAAAGACTTTTGACTAATATCTTCATAGAGAAACTGATGACTGGGTAAGTAGACAGGGACAAGGACAAAAAAGTAAACTGAACTGCCAAATTCAGAGATATGATCAGCAACATGAAGTCCAACTGGAGGCCATTCACCAGAGGTGTACCTCAGGGATTAGCACTGGGTCTAGTTCTATTTAACCTCTTCATTAATGCCTAGGCAATGGGATGGAATGTGCCCTCAGTAAATTTACAAATACAAAGCTGGGAGAAGTAGCTGGTACACCATAGGGTTTTGCTACCTTTCTGAGGGACCTTGATGGGCATGAGAAATAGGCAAATAGGAATTTCATGAAGTTCAGCAGCTACTCCCAGTTTCTTGTCATAGGAGAGCATGACTAAAATCATATGCATTATCTGTCACTTCTGAATCCTTTATGCAATTTACACAATAAGGTCCGCTTTGGACATTTCTTCAGCAACAGAGAGCTGCACAGATCATTGTTTGGCTCAGAAAGTTAAAATCATCAGAGGAAAACAAAAGTCCTCAAGACCAACAACCACATTTCTCTACCAGATAACATGCATGCAGCAATGCATAACCATGGTTCCCGCATAGCTCAGATAAAAGGCCACAGAGAGAAAGATGTCTCTAAACTTTACCAGAAAGGATAGGCCTCAACCAAAACACCTGGTCTTGAGAAGGCTGAAAAAATAGAGATCCAACCTGTGCCCCTTTTTCTGAGAAACAATCTAGTCCGGGTCTGCAAAAGGCAAAATAACAAGTGAAGCCCTGCAGTAGTGATACATATCCTAAGGCTGTCTCTAACCATTTCATTCTTCTACAGATAGCAGCTGCTTTCAGAAACCATTAAAACCTCACACATCATTTCACCTTCTTTCCAATAAATAACCATTCAAAGGAAACAAATTTCTCCTTATTTCTCTCCATACATTGCAGAAGCATGGGATAAAAATAAATCAGATACTCGATACTGACATGCAACGGCAATCTACCTGTTTCCTTAATGAATCTTCCTATACCTCATTTCTCTCATCTGTGGCAGTGGACAGCAGATATCCACCCTCCTCAGAAATCATAGCATAATGTAAAACAAAGGGAGTAAAATAAAAAGATGAAATAACCTTTACCCTCGATGCTATCTGTAGGGCTCCTGGTACAGTTCATTGACTGCAACCAAATGAGTTCACCATGCCTAACATTATGGAGCTACTTGAAGGAAAATAATTTACTGCCAGGACAATTTGTCTCAACGTCTCCGACTCTATTCTCAACTCCAGTCATCAAAGGCCGGCTCTATTAACTTGCAAGAGATTCTTTAAAATGGAGCCTTTCTCCTGGTACTTAAGAAGGGGGAGGCTGTGTAGGAGAGGAGCAATAAGATTCTCATTTATGTGATTTAATTTAACTCAGAATATGCTCCTTATTAGAAGATGTGTGGGTGGTGGTGTTTTCCTGTTTAAAATGTTATTAAAGGGACTCCAATAAGGGTTTCATTATTATAAAGTGCAATCAAAGAAATTGTTTTCTACCAATTAAATGCTGCTAAATGAATACTTAAAAGCAGTGGCAGCTATAATGCTTTTCAGCTGGTGGAGATCTCAAAAAAAAATTGTAGTAAATTTGTGTGCCTGTTTGCACACACACAACAGAAATTTGAGGATTATATGTTAAAAGCCAAAATGATATAGGTTATTAATTATTCAGATAATATTAGAAATGCAAGAATATTAATTGTTTATATAGAAAAATAGGAGAAATTACCTGGTTTCTCTCTCCTGCATGTGCCTTTTCATACCTGAGCTCCTGCATGTAAGTTTGTACATAGCCTTTGAAAGCCCCACTGAGGTCCTCGTTGCAGATAAAAAAAATGCATGATGACTCTGTAATGCAAGAAGTTCTTTTTTCTATGTCATTATAAAAAGGAAGGCACACAGGCCTATACAATAAATAGTCACCACTTACCTCATGAACACAATCACAGGACAGCTGGGACCATGTAACCTTCTCTCACTTTCCACACTTAATCTTGTTTGGCTCTGCAGCTTTGCTGACAGCTGGGAAAATACCCACTGAAAGCTACTGCACAGGTACAGCATGCTGCCTTTTCCTGCATTACCTGTGTGTTGTGGTGCTGGGTTTTGCACAGCACAAGAGGGAAAAGAGTCTCAGTAACATTTTATTGAGGATTTTAATCCTCTCATAGGACTGATCCCACAATCCCCAGGTATAGGCTGCCCCTGGCTGAAGGGTCCTTAAGTGCAGAGCTGAGCACCTAGGATGAAAAAACCTACAGTATCTCCACATTTTGCTATAAAGAGGGAATGTTACAACTTCTGAGTGCACAGCAGAGGGAAGAGGGTGAAAGAGATCTCAATAGCTATCTAAATATTTGTGATGGATTGTGTGTGCTGTAGTGAAACCAGCAGTTTTAGGGCACTTCCATTCCTAATTAGGCATCAGTGTGCTGACAAACACTTTAGAAGGAACTTAACTTGGAGATAAGTCTTACTGCTGTCCTAAGGCCCACAGAAAGCCATTCAGATGGACTGCAGTCAGAGCATAAACAAGATGTGGACTTTGCTTTTGACACATGCCCAGATCACACCAGCAGGACAACATCTGTGAGGCATTTCAGACATGAATGTTATATTGTTCTGCACCTACCATAAGAGGTGAGGGAAACAAGAGAATAGGCTCCTAGTTTCAGATCTGCCTTTTTTCCTTTTCCAAAATCTCTTTTGTTTTATTACCCCTGTATGCTTTGGCTGGCAACCCCAAAGCACATTTGTTTCCCACTAATACCTATGATTTTTTTTTCTTCTCGTTTCCCTCACAGTTTGGTGTGGTTTCTTGCATAAGCAGATCATTCCTAACAGTTATACTGAATACTCCTCTCATTTCATTGTTAGTATGTCAAGTCTAAAAATGCAAAACCACATGAAACACAGACATATTTGCTATTTTAAGGTATTTTCAGTCAAGACTAAGTAGGCAGAATCACATGACTGTCTCCTCAATAACATAAGAATGTGTAACCTTGGCCAGGCAATGATACTTTGATAGTCCTCAACTTTTCTGCATTACCAAAAAGAAATGATCTCACCTTATCCACAGTGCTCCTAGATCCCCTTATCTGCAAATAAACCAGAGTTGTTTCTGCCACCCTGTGCTTTCAATAACTAGACATAATTGTCTGGAAAAGAGTAGTCTTACAGATCACGCTCAGTTGATAACCTCACGTCCTGTGTTCACTCACAGAATTACTCCTGCATGGTTGCCTTCCCAGGTACACAGTGAGAACTCCCAGTTTGACCCACATTTCTCCATGTGTTTGCAGCAGATGAGTTAAGTGGTGACCATTTAGCAGAAGTGCCTCCCTCAGAGCTGAGGTAGGTACAGGCACCACTAAATTCCTCACGCGACATGCCTTTTTCCATGATATTCCAAGGAATAATCCTGTTGGTCTGTTGAGAAAAGTCTTGGTTCTTTGAAGCGTGAAGCAAAATGTAGAGGCAAAGAGCTTGCACTGCAGTGTTCTGCTACAGAAATTAAAGACTGAGATAAAGTTAAGGATCCACTCAGAGCCTCCTGAAGAACCAGAAATGGAAATATAAGGAAAACCAAAAGGCAGACAACAGAGACAAATCCCCATGCACAGTTAGCAGAACAGAAATTGGGAAGATGACATTGCATCCTAGAGATAGGAAAATCAGATGAAGGGGTCTAGGCCCCTGAATGACTGGGCACCAGCGCTCTCACCTGCCAGTTCCAGTGCACAAACTGTCTTTGCTAATTTACTAATGTAGGAGCTGAGCCACAGAGAAGTTGACAACAACAACAAAACAGATAAAACACCTTTCTTGATTCTCACTCTAGATCTTTGTATTGGTCCTGACAAAGGAACTGTTGTGCTTTCAGGAGCTGGTGATCCCTGTAACAGTGAACCTCAGTAGGCACAAGCCTGTGCTATGCTGCATGTACAGAGCGGCTTTCAGGCCTGTGCTGTGCTGCACAAATTTCTTGGCCAAAAGATCAGCTCAGCGCACTGAGTGTGACAGAAGGGCCTGCAGGCAGCTCCCACCCAGTACCAGCAATTACCCCTGTAGTAATTATTGGAGGACTTGTTAGTGTTAGATCAGAGGTTGGACTAGGTGATCTTGGAGATCTCTTCAACCTACATGATTCTGTGAACTGCTAAACTGGATCAGATCAATAGCCAGTGCCAGCACTGCCCTCCAGCTATGACCGGTGCCACACTTTTTGAGAAAGCAGTAAATTCTATGGCCATGATATCTGAAAACCACCACCTCAAAAGAAGTTTTGTCTTACATCTATATTATTATTTACAGCCTGACTTATGCTCTCAACCCATTGTTGTTACATATAACATTAGTCTACAGCAGTTGGGGATGCAAAACAAAGCCCATCCATACCAGCTGCCTCAGTGGTATGGGTCCTCGGGTTAAGGTCAGGACAACAGGGGGCTGACATCCTTGAGTGCTGCTGCCAGCTTTGGCCCAGCTCTTCTGCAAACCAGCACCCTGAGCACAACTCATTTAGCACTTCCCTTTTTACAGTGAGGATTGCTCATCAGAGGCCAAACCACACAGAGTCTAAAACTCTACCATGCTAAGCATTGTTTCTCAGTGTGACATCTGAACAGCTCTTCCAAAATATTTCTTCTTTCAGTGTCCCATGACCAAGGATTTCTCCACAGGAGCCTTCTTCATGAAGTCAGAAGAGGATGAAAATTCAACTTAAGCTTTTTGGAGACTTGACTTCCTTCTGCTATCATACTTTTTCATACTTCTTTTTTTTCCCCACTTGTAACAGAATAAAAAGAAATTAAAAAAAAGTCCTGGTTTATAATCCTACAAGACCTCAGTTGCTGGCCTACCCATACTTTTCCTAGCCACACTTCTAGCCCAGCTGAGCTCTTCCATCAGGTGGTCTTTTAAATCAGTTGCCTCCATCCAAATATAGAGCAACTATGCTGGCTAACTGAGTTCACCAGCTGTCACTAATCATTCATTTTCTGGGGTGGATTCACAGATTCCTGCTAAGTTTTTTCTCTCAACACCATTTTGTAACAGCATAAGCCCATGTGTAATAGCTACCAGTTTCCAGTTATGTGCATAAAATGTCTGCATATTGAAAATATTAATAAATGGAACAGGTTCAGTGGGGTAGAAAAAAAATGGGATAGAAAGAGCGAGAGGAAACGTATTAGAAAATGACTGTTTTTTTATTTCATCATTGTAAACAAAGAGAAAACCAAAGCTGAGTAATTATTGTCTGTTTATCTCATAATCTATGCTACAAATATGTGTGCATTGGTGAAATATAATTTATTCTAATCCTGTTCAGCATCACACCACACTACGAGCAATAAAGGCTTGGATAAAATATGATCCAAATAGCTTATGTTCAAAACACCAAATCAACCAAGAATAATATTGCAAAACAACTCCATTTTATGAAAACAACCATTAGCATATTTTCAAGTGAAAGATTTACTGTGACTGGAGGAAGGACAGTATTCAGACTGGAAAGCAAGATACACATTCAGTTATGCAGTTTTCTAGCATGTCTTTGGATAAGTTGTTTAAACATCAGTTTCTTAGCTGAAATAGCAACTCCTTTCCTCCTTGTCCCTATCCCACCACCCACTGAACTGGAGCTGTTCATGGTTGTGCCACTCTGGATCTTCCACTGCCTGGTATGCTTAAAACTCCAGAGATCTGGAAATTCAATACCCTATTTTGATTTTTAAAAAGTAACAGATCTGAACTACACCTCATTTCCTTAAGGCCAGTCTGAACCAACTGTTGAGCTGCACCCTTTCAATTAGCCCTGGCATGTCACCATGTGCCCAGCAGGGCAGAGCAAACAGCAGGAAATAAGTTTTTGAAAAGCTGCTTTGCAAGGAGAGATGCATACTGGTTAACACTGCAAATGCAGTCTTAGGAAATAGTCTTTAGAAAGAGGCTTTTGGTATTAAAATTCTTTAAAGCTTGGGAGTGATAAAGCTGTATGACACTGCTCTGCTGTAATGCACACTGTCCAGTCTTACTTTCTTTGTATAATAGCACAGGAAAATCTCCTTCATTTATAGTCTTCCTCCAACCAGCCCCTGTGAATAGCCTTCACTCTCCACCCAATGGAAAGAAGACAGAGAGACATACTCACAATCTAGAATATGTTTTATGAAAAGGTAAATTGCTGTATCTACAGGCACTTCCCCACCATCAGCTTCACTCCAGTTTGCATGCAGTATGGTTTTGAGTCCTACTGGCAATTCTTGAATCTTTAGCTGAGGCATTTACGTTCACTGGTTTATGTCAGATTATCAAAGTGACAGTGAGTTAACTCCTCCATTTCACATACCATGTAAACACATATACACAATGTTAGCCATGGGATACAGTAACTTTCCAGCCTAACACACACATGGTTGTCTCTGTTCTCCTGTTCCCCTGTTCTCCTGTTCTGCACAGTACAAAAGTTAACCTTAGTCTTCCAGTCACATTAATTCCAGACACTTAAAAAGCCATGAAACAATGCCATGGTATACAGCACATTTATTTTCCTCTGAAACAGTTCTACATGGAAATCAGATGGGTTTGGGGGCAACAGCAGCATGTTTCAGATTGAAGAGGCCATTTTGTCTCATCTTTTGGTAGAAACTTTGAAAGCTCCATATATTATTTATTAGGGATAAAGCACTAGCTATTTTTAGAAAACACAGCTTGTTGATGAAAGGACTCATTTTTATCCACCTGTGGTATGAATTTAAAATACTTTGAGAAAATCAAATGTTTGATATTATTGGGTCAAAACAACAAGTTTGAAGTATTTTTATAATAGGACTTTTATACAAATGCCATATATT